TTTTGCCTTTTCTCCAAGGGCCTGCCCTGGAAGTGATAGAGCAGGTCAAGTGTTGTTTTCATGGATGGCGATGGTTATTGTGACCGTTGCTACAGTTGAAAGCTGATGCTTAGCAAGTTGATTCCTATAGCACTGTGCTTCCTGAGGACCCTGAAAACTGGCCTGATAAAACTTCCAGAGGTTGCCTTTTCTGTCCCTTCTCTGTTGTACATGTAGCCATATGATATGCCAAGCACTTTACTTGGCACTGGGCTGGTGCAGGTAGAGAGTATCTCACTACAGCCAGTGTGCATAGATGCCCTGGGAGCAAGATTGACTTTATCGTCGTCATCATCATCATCACTAGTGTTATGCTGATGAATATAGACTTAAACTTATAGGGCCAAGCATGGTAGCTCATACCTGTAATCCTAGCACTTTGGGAGGCCGAGGCAGGAGGATCACTTGAGACCAGGAGTTCAAGACCAGCCTGGGCAACATAGAGAAACCCCGTCTCTACCAAAAAGAAAAAAGTTAGCTGGACCAACTTCATTTTATGAAGGGTAAAAGTGAGGCTGAGAGTTGGTTTCTTTTTTCCAGAAGCATCTGCCGTATTCACCTTGGAGGGATGTTTCATTGCTGTCACTGTCAGATAATCATCCCCTGCCTACTGGCTGCTTCCTCTCTTTCTGGTTACCATATCACTCCCTATCACCATCACCAAAACCACAACCCTGAGCGCTTAGTAAGCGAAGTTAAAGAAATTAGAGCTAGTACATTTCATCTTGAGATTAGGAAAGAAGTATAAATGGTATCAAGAATTAGGACTTGACTTATTTTTATTATCAGAACCAATCACTTATTTGCACCAAGGTAAGACGGTCTCCAGGATTAAGGTCATCAGTGGCCATAAATAAATATGTTTAACTTTCACATCCAGATATACTTCATTTTGGTCAATGTGATGGAGGATGCCAGTCAGAGGGAGAGAACTGCTGTTGGTGAACTCTTCAGCTTCCGTGATGGTGGTGTTGGCCTAGGCTGTGGTGCACCTGGACATTGGAAATGTGCTTGATGTGTCATTTGTGTTGTTGCTAACACCCATTCTCCAAGGCACTTAAAAAGATTTATTTAGCTCTTAAGTTTTAATGTCTATATTGAGATGTAATTAACATGCTGTAAAATTCATTTATATAATGTAATGGTTTTTAATATATTCACAAGAGTTGTACAACCGTTACCACTATCTAATTCCAGAACATTTTTGTCAACCCAAAAAGAAACCCCATACTCCTATCAACCATGTCCCATTCTGCCACCCTCAACCAGTGCTAGGCAGCTCCTAGTTTACTTTCTGTCTCTATAGATTTGCCTGTTCTGGACGTTTCACAAGAGGAATCAAGGTTTATTCATGTTGTAGAATGTATCAGTACTTTACTCCTTTTTATGTCTGAATAATATTCAATTGTATTTGATATATACCACATTTTGTTTATCATCAGTTGATGGACATTTGGGTTAGTTCCACATTTTGGCTACTATGAGTAATTCTGTTATGAACATTTATGTACAAGTGATTGTGTGGACATGTATTTTCTTTTCTCCTGAACAGATACCTAGGAGTGGGTCATCCTGGTTTATATGGTAACTCTGAGTATAACTTTTTGAGGAACTACCAAATTGTTTCCAGAGTGGCTGTGCCATTTTACATTTCTACCAGTAAGGAATGAAAGTTCCAATTTCTCTACAGTCTCACTAGCATTTATTTGTTTTTATCTGTCTTTTTTTTGTTATAGCAATCCTAGTGGATGTGAAGTAATATCTCATGTGGTTTTGATTTTTATTTCCCTAATGACTAATGATATTGAGCATTGTTTCATATGCTTATTGGCCAAGTTTATATCTTTGGAGAATTTCTGTTCCAAATCCTTTGTCTAATTTTTAATTGGGTTACTTTTTTATTATTGAGTTGAAAGAATTCTTTATAAATTCCGGATACAAGTTTCTTTTTTTTTTTTTTTTTTTTTTGAGATGGAGTCTTGCTCCGTCGCCCAGGCTGGAGTGCAGTGGCGCAATCTTGGCTCACCGCAAGCTCCGCCTCCCGGGTTCACGCCATTCTCCTGCCTCAGCCTCCCGTGTAGCTGGGACTACAGGCGCCCGCCACCGCACCCGGCTAATTTTTTTTTTTGTATTTTTAGTAGAGACGGGGTTTCACCGTGGTCTCGATCTCCTGACCTTGCGATCCGCCCGCCTCGGCCTCCCAAAGTGCTGGGATTACAGGCGTGAGCCACGGCGCCCGGCGACAAGTTTCTTAATAGATACATGATTCGCAAAAAATTTCTCCCATTCTTTAGGCTGTCTTTTCACTTTCTTGATGGTATTGCTTACAGCACAAAAGTTCTTTATTTTGACATAATACAATTCATGTGCTTTTTCGTGTGTGTGTGTGTGTGTGTGCGCGCGCGCGCATGCGTGCTTTTGGTGTTATATCTAAGAAACCATTGCCTAATCCAATGTCGTAAAGATTTACTTCTGTTTTCTTCTAGCTTTGCTTTTGTAATTGTAGCTCTTACATTTAGGGCTATACACATTTTTTACTTTATTTTTAAATATGGTATGAAGTGGGACCCTACTTTATTCTTTTGTATACGGATATCCAGTTTTCTCAGCACAGTTTGTTGAAAAGACTCTTCTTTCCCCATGAATTGTCTTGGCATCCTTATTGAAAATCTGTTGACCATAAATGTAAGGGATTATTTCTGGACTCTGGATTCTGTTGTATTGATCTCCATTTCTATTCTTATGTCAGTACTGCACTGTCTTGGTTACTTGTTAGTATTTATTTTTTTTATTGGCAACTCAGAGCCTTCTAACCTTGTTCTTCTTTTTCAAGATTGTTTTGGCTGTCCTGTATCCCTTGCATTTCCAAAAAATTTTAGGATCAGCTTGCCAATTTCTGAAAAGAAGCTAGCTGGGATTTTGATGGGTATTCTGTTGAGTCTGTAAATCAATTTAGGGAGAATTGCCGTCTTAACAATATTAAATTTTCTGGTCCATGAATATGGTATGTCTTTTCATTTTTTAAGTCTTTAATTTCTTTCAATGATGTTTTATAATTTGCAGTATACATGTCTTGCATTTCTTTTATTTATTTCTAAGTGATTGATTATTTTTGCCACTATTGTTAATAGAATTGTTTTCTTCATTTCATTTTCAGATTGTTCATTGCTAGTATATAGAAATAAAATTGATTTTTTTTTTTTTTTTGAGGCAGAGTCTTGCTCTGTTACCCAGGCTGGAGTGCAGTGGTGCAATCTTGGCTTACTGCAACCTCTGCCTCCCAGGTTCAAGTTACTTTCATGCCTCAGCCTCCCAAGTAACTGGGATTACACACATGAACCACCACACTTGGCTAATTTTTATATCTTTAGTAGAGATGGGGTTTTGCCATGTTGGCCAGGCTGGTCTCGAACTCCTGTTCTCAAGGGATCTGCCTGCCTTGGCTTCCGAAAGTGCTGGAATTACAAATGTGAGCCACTGTGCCTGACCCCAAATTGATCTTTAATATTGATTTTGTATCCTGCACACTTACTTGAACTCACTCAGCAGTTTAATAGGTTTTTTAGTGGAATCCTTAGGATTTTCTACATACAAAATCATGCCATTTGCAAATGGAGATAGTTTTACTTCCTTCTTTCCAACCCAAATGTACCCTTAAATTTTAATCTTTGTATTCCTTTTATTACTTGGCATAAAATAGTGTTCCTGAAAGGATAGTGCATTTACCACTGGTGATATATTAGCTAAGAATATATGGTACATGAACAGACATTTTTTACTTTTAAATAGTTAAATACCTTAATGTATGTTACTTTTATTTTAATGGGTATTAGAAAAAATATGATTAGCACTTCTAGCTCTCAATTTCATGATGTGTACTCAAATGTTACTTTATCATAATGGTTTTCCCTGAACATCTTATTTAAAGTAAGATACCCTTTCACCACTCCCTTTCCCTCTACTTTGCTTAAGATTTTTCAAATTTAATTTAATTTAATTTTATTTATTTTATTTTTTTTGAGACAGAATAAATAAAATAATTCTGTCTCAGAATTGTCACTCAGGCTGGAGTGCAATGGTGCAATCTTGGCTCACTGCAACCTCCTTCTCCCAGGTTCAAGCAGTTCTCCTGCCTCAGCCTCCCAAGTAGCTGAGATTACAGCTGCCTGCCACCACACCTGGCTGATTTTTAGTAGAGAAGGGGTTTCACCATATTGCCCAGGCTGGTCTGAACTCCTGACCTCAAGTGAACTGCCTGCCTTGGTCTCCCAAAGTGCTGGGATTACAGGCATGAGCCACCACTCCCAGCTCTACCTTGCTTAATTTTTTTTTCATTCCACTTATCATCACCTTACATATTATACACAAAGGTACACTTACTATCACACATGTGATAATTTGTGTGTGCTCATTGTCTGTTTTTCCCCACTGGGATGTAAGCTGCATGAGGTCAGATACTGTATTACTCTTCGCTGGATCACATTTGCCTTGGACATGGGTGCTAGGTAAATATTTGTTGAATTAATATTGTTTAGAATAAGGTTACTTTTTTCTTTTTAAGTAAAGGAAGTCGTTTCAAGTATATTCAAGAAAAATATTGAATAGTATGTCAGGAGGTATGCAAATATGGCAAAAACCATGGACTATATAGAATGATAGAGGTTTAGGAAACTCTAACTTAAGGAATGAGGAGAGATGAATGGAGATGGAGTTTCTTGGGCTTGTTTATTTTGTTTTCTGTGAAGTGATGTGATGTTAGCTCACACTCTTCCCTATTCCGGCCAGGGGTTTCTTGGGGGCTCTTAAGCTGTAACACATGGAGTTAAACATTAAGTGGGAAAGCAGTTTCTACCATCTGCCACAGAAACCCTCTTGGCACTTTTGGAGGTCATCTGGAAGATGTTCAAGGTGCTTTTGGCTGCCCATAGAAACTTGGCTTACCGGCATTGTCTTCTTTGCAGGGCTCTGGGTTTGCAGAGAGCCGAAATGACCATGACTGCCAACAAGAATTCCAGCATCACCCACGGAGCCGGGAGCACTAAGGCCCCTCAGGGGACTCTGAGCAGGTGGGTAAGGAAGCACTTGTGGGGCATGGCAGCAAGGGACCTAGGTCCTGGGTGGGATCCCTCCAAAATGTAAGTAGTCATCATCTTGACTGACAGTCATCCAGGTGACTGGTCTAGGCCAGTTCATGCTGACCATTAGGCAGAAGATATTTTCCAGTTCTATAAGTTTCCATGTAACATAGCAAACAATAACTCTTAAAACAAGCTCTGCTTTGTGCCTAGCATTCCAAGGATGGGGCCAGCAAGAAGCAGCTGATGTTCTTCTGGCTGTAACCTTTTCCCATGGTGGGGAGAGCTGGGGGCCTGTGCCTGAGCTAAGCTGCACTGTAGTGAGGGAGGCTGACCACATTGGACTAAGGGTAGAGAGGCAGTTATGCATATTAGCACAAATTCCAAGCAGTAGCCTAGGCTTTTTATAAGAGTTTAGAGAAACCGTGGATTTTGGAATCATGGATTTGGTTCAAATCCAAGTTCTAATCACTTAACCAAATAGCTCTCAGAATGTTTCCCTGGGCCCTCTAAAATCTTCATTATTTCGTCTATAAAATAATAATAGTAGTTATCTTAGAGAGTTGCTGTGAGGACTAAATGAGATAATATATGTCAATGCTTAGCATTATGGCTGACATAAAGCTACTCAATAAATTTTAACCGCCTTTTGAGGATGAGATCAAAGCTTCTGGAACTCACAGATACACAGATAGATGCACAATACTCTCACCAGGGCTTCTCTGGTCTTGGCCAAGGCTGGACACTGATATCTTAAAAGAACCTTTAGTCTCTTTTATTAAAGCCGTGTACCTTTCGTAGCCCTTTCTGCTGAATGTCAGGTGGACAGATTTGGCTTTTGTGGCCTCTGCCTCTAGGATGGATAACTCTGAGAAGGGTGCTCAGCTTTGGTTTGGTCAGGGCTAGTTCATTCCTGAATATCTGGCTGTGCATTGCTAGGCTGGGTCCAGTAGGGTCTGGTCAGAGGTGGTGGTAAACGTTTGGTTCATTCAGAGCTGGAGTCCAGATATAGTTGGTAGAATAGTGCACGGGATGTAGCCCCTGGGGAGTGACTGTCGTGACGGAGGCAGGGGTTCCTCACACCATACATACAGGACTTTGTCCCAATAGAAACATTCTGGATGGACTATGCCAAACAGGGTTTGATGGACTCTGACTTGTTAAGTACATAAGACCCTGGGACTTAGCCAAGCAAACTGATTATTCGTTTTGCAGCAGCAAGACTGATAGGAACACCGCCTGCCCGGGCAATCCCTCTCATTTAGACTGGGCTTGGTGGCATACCAGCTTCCCTGTACTGAGTGAGGCTGGGAATGGCAAGGAACAGCTTCTTGGGCAAAGCAGGTGGAGAAACTGACCTCCTCCAGAACATGTCGGTGTCCAACGCAGAAACAGGTCGAGGTCTCAGAGTCTTGTGTCCCGTTGCCTGCTCCTGGGAACCACGTTGCTGGGCTCTTGTCGGCCTGGTGGCATTCTTACCATGATTGAGCTGGCAGATGGGGCTGGGAACTAAGGTTCCAATTTTTTAGAGTATCACACTACTGTAGGAGTGAAACAAATATATGTGATTGTGTCATTTTATTCATAATTTTAAAGCAATTATATATTTAGGACCTGACATGGAGATTACCATTCCCAGCAACCCTCAACTCCTTTAAATATTCTTTTTTTTCCTTCTAATTTCCACCATGCAGGAATGGGGTAGAGGGGTGGGAGGGGCAGTATTTACATCAAGTTTCAAAGCCAGCTCAAGACTGCTGACAGATGCTCCAGTTTCTATTTGGAGTAAATGCCTGCCTACTTCTAAGTGTTTTCAGAAATTGCTCTTCCTTTAGCTTCTCAGCATGCTTGCCATCATAACATGCTAGATGGTGTTTGTAAATATCTGAGCCTCAGATGTGCCTAAAAAAAGCACCTTTCCTGTCTCCCTTCTAAGTCTTCGCTTCCTTCCTACCACATTTCTGCTTCTCTTCTTCCCTCCCTCCCTTCTTTCCTGGGAGTCTGGCTTTTGGTGTGAAGTTGCAGGCCTCTGTGGCTAGCAGCACCCTTCTCTCAGAGACTACCCCTGGGGTGTAGGTATTATTTAGACATTGTGATCTGGTGGTTTCTTTGGCTGCCTTCACCCCTGGCCACATCTGGGTGTGTTCTTTGGGCTAAGTAAGGCAGTAAATCACCGGTTCATTTAGGAAGGCATTGTCAGTGAACTCAGAGGGTTCTCCTGGGTGCCAGGCTCTGTGCTGGGCACTGGAGGGCAAAGAGGGATGATCCATTCTCTTTCTCCAAGGTACTTACAACTTGGATTGATGATCTTGGCACCTGAATTTCTTAGTTTGACCTTTCAATAGGTGTTTGGTGGTGACCTGGGGCCCTTTTATAATTGCCAGCACATGAGTCCAAGGAGGAGCCTCCTCGGTGTGACCAGAGCTTTAGCTGGGGAGGGGAGGGGTGTCGGGGCCTTGGAAAGCTGGGCCTTTGACACTCTGGCTACTTTGGGGACCTCCACATCATCCACATGAAGGCAGAGGAACCCAGTGGTTCTAAGAGGTATTTGTGTCCAGCTTTGGGGGAAGAGGGAGGTCTGGGCAAGGAAAACTGGTCGGGGTGGGCAGATGGGGCCCTGTGTAACTGTCACGGTGTGTATTTGAAGGACTGTACCCTTAATTTGCATAAGACTTCACCTGGTGCTGCCACCAAGCCAGTCTGGGTTTAAGACCCTGGATTCCAGTCCCTAGGTTTTCACAGGTGTGTTGCTAATGTATTCCTTTTCCTTTGCAGCTTAGTCTTGATTTGGCAGGAATGTGTAGGAGAAAATCTAAGCCTTTCATGTGACCGCCTCAGTTTTGTTCTTTGCTGTGTCTTGGTCTCCTGGAGCAGGTTTCCTTGTCTTTGCTTTTGTTGATGAGGCCGAATGAACATACTGTTCATCCTTACCTGCCAGATACACTCTCCCCACAGGCTGTTCCCACTTCAGCTCACGAGATATGACTGCCTCCCACTCTGGGGGTCAGGAGTGGGATTCTCAAACCTCTTCTGAATTCTAGAGGTCAGCCTTTACTGTGTTGGTATTGATGACCTGAGGCGGGACTGGAAGCAGGTTGGTAACTTGCAAAAAAGGAAGTATTATGTTTAGAGCTAATTCAGCTGTGTAGATAGGGTGAACTGTGTCACTTACTGCTCTCAGGAGATTTCACTTGTGCAGTAAGACCTGGCAGGCAGCAGGGGCTCTTCTCTGAAGACCTGCTGATTTCCTCCACAGCTTCTTCACTATGAAACTCCAGCACCTGGGTCAGTGCAACTTGGAAATAACATACTTTATCAGCCTTGAGTTTGAGAACTTCGCTTGTGGTGGGTGCTGAAAATCTGAGTGTCTGTAAGAATATAGAATTCTCGAGGGCAAGGACTTTGATGTCTTTCTGTGTTCCTAGAGCCTGGAACAATGCCTGGCACATAGAAGCCATTAGCTATTTGTCGATTAGTCAACTAGATGGGAGAGCAGCCTCTTAGAGCATAGGCTGTTGTGCTACTTGAATCCTTATAGTACCTTCCTAATGGGTCATCTTAGCTTTGGACTCTGTTTTCATGTAATCTGTAGATCTTAGAAAGGCAGAGGGGGCTTCAGAGCTTCTTCAGTCTAACCCATTTGATTTACAGATTGAGAAACTGAGGCACAGAAAAGAGGAGGTACTCTTTAGGGATACAAAACTAGTAGGAAGAGGAACTCAAGCCTGCCTCTCTTGATCCTTCCGTTATTTTTTTATCCCACCACATTCCCTTCCTATGAGCATTCCTGGGATCTTCCTGCCCCCAAAGTACTGCTGTCCATGATAAAGTCAAACTTAGCCTGGTTTCCAGGGATTTTCATGATCTGACCCTGGTCTTTCCTTCTGCCCAGTAGTTCACTGTTCTCTAGTGCAAACCTTACATTTCTGCCAGTCTGGATGCAACTAGTCACCTCTCTCCCAGTGTTTTTCTAGACCACTCAACTAAGACAAATCCCTCTCTCCTCTGCATACACTCAGAATCTTTGGTTCAAAACAGCCAAATGGCACTTATCGTATAGTATCTCATAAAGTGGATATTTGTGTGGGTCTTATTTCCCCTACTCAGTTGGAACTCTTTGGAGGCCCGATACATTCTCTGTTGGGATGTTAGAGTTGGAAGGGATCTTGAGATATATCTGGCTCATTAACTTACATTACAAATGAGGAACCTGTAAGCCCACACAGCTAATTGGCAGTGGAGCCATAATTTCAACTCATATTTGCAGGTTTTTGTAAAGAGAGTGGCTTCAGTTTGTGATATGGTGAAATCCAGAGATGTCTTGAGGTTCCATGGCCAGTGTAGGCACAAGTTTGGACCCTGTGTCTTACATCAGGGAGAAACCAAGAGCTTAAAGAGAAGAAAAATCTCCTGAGTAGCTGTGGGTAAAGACACTGCTGCAGGGCCTGTCCTGGCCATGGCAGGCCCCCCTCAGGAGGACCTGTGACCTCTGCCCCTGTTACTCAAGATGCTTCCTAGAATCCAACCATGATGCTGTCAGTACAGGTCTGGTTATTTATTGCTACATAACAAATGACCCCAAACTTAGTGGCTTAAAATAATATTTATTTTGTCTACCAATTGCAATTTGGGTAGGGCTCAGCAAGGAAAGCTTGTGTCTGTTCTTTGCAGCATCAGTTAGGGTAGCTTGAAAGTTGTGGGTGACTCAATGGCTAGGGGCTGAAATCATCTGAAGGCTTACATGTGTGACAGTTGATGTTGGTGGTCAGCTGGGACTAAAGCTGGGGAACACCTGCATGTCACCTCCATGCTTGGCAACATGCCTTCATAGCATGATATCTGGGTTCCAAGAATGAGAATCCCAAGAGAACAAGGCAAAAATGCATGGCATTTTAATGACCTAGCCTCAAAAGTCAGATAGTTTATCTTCTATTGTACTATATTGATTAAGACAGTAACAAAGGGCTGCCTAAATTCAAGAGAACGGAAGA